ACAACACTTATCAACACTCGGGTGGAGGATGTAATGCTACCAACACTCGTATGGAAGCTGTAATGCTATCAACATTTGTGCTACAACACTTATCAACACTCGGGTGGAGGATGTAATGCTACCAATACTCGTATGGAAGCTGTAATGCTATCAACATTTGTGCTACAACACTTATCAACACTCGGGTGGAGGATGTAATGCTACCGACACTCGTGTGGAGGCTGTAATGCAACCAACAATCGAGTGGAGACTGTAATGTCATCAACACTCGTGTGGAAGCTGTAATGCTGCCAACACTCGTGTGGAGGCTGTTATGTTACCAACTCTCGTTTAAAGGATGTAATGCTACAAACACTCAAGTGGGGACTGTGATACTACCAACACACGTGTGGAGGCCATAATGCTACCAACACTTGAATGGAAACTGTAATGTTACCAACACTCGTGTGGAAGCTGTAATGCTGCCAACAATCGAGTGGAGACTGTAATGTTACCAACTCTCGTTTAAAGGCTGTAATGCTGTCAATACTCATGTGGAGGATGTAATGCTACAAACACTCAAGTGGGGACAGTGATACTACCAACACACGTGTGGAGGCCATAATGCTACCAACACTTGAATGGAAACTGTAATGTTACCAACACTCGTGTGGAGGCTGTTATGCTACCAATACTCGTGTAAAGGCTGTAATGCTGCCAACATTCGTGTGGAGGCTGTAATACTGCAAAAGATCTTTTGATATAAGTGAAGAATAAAATAATTTTTATAAATGTTTTAATTAGAATTAGTCCAAAGTTTTTTTTCATTATTGCTTTCTTTTTAATTAACAAAGCTTACAAGCCAGAAATGTAAAGACAGAATTCCAAAAATAAAAAATATGTCATTACCTGAAACACTCTTTCTGAGTGTTCTCGTGCGGAAGTCTTGTCAACAGAGGGCTCTGCGAAATTTCCCATCAAGCTATAAACAGCCATAATGATTTCACACATTTCTTCTCTACTTATACAACCATCTCCGTTGATATCGTAAAGATTAAACGTCCATTGCAACTTTTCCAAAGTTGTGCCTCGTGTTAATGCAGACAGTCCTACAACAAAATCCTTTAAAAAAGTTTATTATCAATAAATGATCATATTTACAGTCACAAAGAAATTTGATTCTTGGTACAATATCTTTAAAATACGTCTCTACATTGTCTCACGTGTTTAGCATCCTGCCTTCTTTCACAATAAGTGTTATAAAATAATAAAGTTCTGTTATAATTACTGGAAATTTTCGAAAATGTTTTTCTAACGTTAGTCATCAGCATTATAAAACACTGAAGGTATAATACAAATAAAGACAAATATTTTTCTGAAACAGCTGGTGTTTAATTATCGGTGATACACTAATTTTGTTGCCTTATTGCAGGTTGCGTAAAATAATCAAATTCTGGAATACAAGGGACTAATCTGCAATTACAATGAGATATTGTGGTGAAACACATGAGTCTTCCCAGTGTAGAACAACATTTCAACTGTTCGCTCATACAAAATTGTTCTTATCTTATACAAATAAAACTAAAGCTTACTAACTACTTTCCTTACAAAAACAACATGCTCTTCGTATTTAAGCCTACTAAGTGAATGCTTGACTGCAAAAACTCGGTGGAAATACTTCAACAGAACATGGCATCTCTTACTTGGTGTTTTCCTTTCTTCTTTAGAGCCAGTGCATTATGGGTCTATAATTAAAGTCTTCTTTCTAATGGGTTTACGAACACTTCGTCTAAGCCTCCTGTTATCAAATTTCAACCCCTTTGATTATCAGCCTAGATACACTTTGTGCCTAATTTTTATATCAATCACCCATGTAACTTTTACAGAGGGTAGGTAAATTATAATTCTCATATAAGTTTTTAATGACAAAATGGAACATGAAACAACAGTAAATGTAGATACATAATGCATCCATGTTTGTATTCTGCATGTTTAACATGAAAGATAAATATGTGGCGATTTCTGTTTTCAGTATTTTATGGACAAAAGCAATTCAAATATTTCTAAGGCTTTGAAGAACGGCTTTGATCATTAACTCAATCATAGAGAGTATATTCAATTCTTATAAGCTTGGCAAAATTATACGATTCAACATTCAAGTTCACAAATAGATAAATTTTTACTCAATTCGAAAGTTAACAGGGTAATGCAACAACTTGTGTTCAATAATACTCTTTTCCTCGAGATTTATGAAGCTTGATGAGAAATTAATGACCAGGAGCATGTCGCATCTTCTTTAAACCTTACTATAAATTACTTATCTGGTATATTTCTCGTGCCTTTCGGCTGATGATAAGCCTGTTCTAAGTGATATTTAGGCTAATTCTAATTTTGATAAAGATTTTGATAGAGATTAAAAAAATAAAAATACTATTTTGTGATACTAATTACGAACACGATAAGCAGGACTTTTTGAATAAGCCAAATTATTTAATACCTGTGATTTTTTTGCAACCAGTTTATGCCTTTACGTGAAGAAGGTACGTATTAGTGCTAATTAATCTTAAGAGAAATCAAACTGGTGTATTTACGTGTTTTACACGTTTCTTATCCATATATAAAAACACGTAAATACACCAGTTTGATTTTCGATACCTCTCTAGTAGGAAGGCTTGGTTTGGTCTGATATTTCATTGGTGGTAGTGTCCAGGGTCACTGAAGAGGAGCGGAATTCTCCAAAATTAGTCTGGTTCATAGACACACACCCCAATGAAAGAATAGACCATTCCAAGCTTTAACTTGTTAAACAAATGTTTAAACAACTCTGCTTATTCAATTATAATCCTAAGGGAATTTGGAAAAGTACTTTACTTTATTTAACTAATATTTAAGATTGATTTATTAATCGATGTAACACATTCAATTAAAAAAATCATTTATACGAGAAAAAATATGTTATTCAAATCTACACTTTAGAGAAAGTGTAATAAAAATATATTTGTGTTTAATTTCAATTACAGAAGATATTTTTAAATTCATATTGCTTAAAGAACAATTATTTAAGTTCATTTATGAGAAAATTAACACAAATTAGAACCAAGCATAAAACCGTTAAAAAAACAAGCAATTATGAAGGTTTTAAATACCGAAATTAATAAAAAAATTAGCTTGAGAAATCGGAAACCCTTCGAACATTGACAATGAAATACAAATTACACTTCAATATACAAATTGCTCTTCATATTGAGCATTTGGCTCTCTATAAGCATTGACCTTGAAGAAATGAAATAATTCAAGCAGAAATTTTATTAAGTTCTACATTAACAACCTTTGTCCACATTCGCTCATAACTTCCATAGGTTCTTATTATGAAAAATGTGGTAGCTATCACTATAGCTTTCTCTTTAAATTACAGATACGTTAATCAAACTGTTATGTTTTTTTTTAAATATTCAATAGTAATTTCTAATATTAATCCAAAAAAGTTCGTTTGATCTCAATCAATCTGTTTTCGTTAATTAATAAGATATTTATTATGACACCACTGAGTTATGGGAACAGTTGTAAAATATTATCAATAAAACAACTATGAATCTTAAGTACACTACGCAGATATCTTGAATAGAATTTTCTTTACTCAACCTTATATCGGTACGTAAACTTTTTCAATATTTATGAAGTGCACATATTTCTCACTTGATGTCGAGCTATGCAAAAATACGGATTGTGTGTAACATTTGAAAAAAAAATGCCTTTTTAGGATAATTTACGATTTTAAAATTAATTTAATGATCGAAAAGGCAAAATTTTATAATTCTTCAAACAAACAGTTAAGCAATTGCCTAATTAGTTCTTGTAAAACAATCAGACACTGTGTTAAATCAATGAATTTCAGTAGTTGTTGGTACATGCTAAAGAACAGTCAACTAATAGATTATTTGGATACATTGGCCTCGAGAATGCAGAGAATTCAGAGAATGTAATGAGGAGCTTTTCATCATTTCTTATCCATAAAGTAGCTCAGTTGAAAATTATTCTATTAGTTCATCATTCATAATATATAAAAACTGTAAAAAACGCGCCAAGAAGTGTTTCACAGCCCTAAAACACAGCTGTAACTTAGAAGGTTTCAAAAATGTTATTTAACATTTTACACACATGCACTGCTTACAAAAACATTTCGGGATAAAAGAGAGCCCTAGTTGGCTCAGCAATAAATTTGAGTGCTTTTCATGCTAAATATAGAATTTTGATACCATTGTGTTGGTTTGGGCTTAATAACAAACAAATATAACACAGAATTGTTTATTATCAATTAAACTAAAATCTTGTTAATAACATATCTAAAAGTAAAATATATGTTAAAACGCTTCAATAGAGATTTAAAAATAGCATATAGCCAAATGCATATTGTATATTAAAAGTTAAAAAAGACAAATAAGTTATAAATACATAAAACATATTATAGTTTTATGTTATCAACAATAATATGTATACAATTTGAGGCATATGATGACGGAAAGGTATTTTGGTAAATTATGTTTGTCTTAGATCAAAGCTGCATTGGATTATCTACTTTGTCCACATCGGGGAATCGGACCCTGGATTTTAACGTTTTAAGTCGTAGACTTACCGCTGCCTCAATGGGGACATTTCGATAAAACAAATAAAATCCACAATAACAATAAAAAAGGTTGTTAGTTGATAATTTTATGTAATTTATCTGCGTGTTTGTGATACATGTATATGTCTATATATATAAGCTGCTCATTTACTTTAGTATTCTTTTATAATTAAAAGAGACATTGCTTTATTTCTCTTTTTTCAAGTTTGCTTTCATTTCTTAATAACTGCATCGAAAAACATTCACAAAATTGCCGTTTATTGGTACGAGCTCACCATTCGAATTTTCCTATCAAGATATTTTTAAACTTAGAAAAAAGATGCATATACTCACTGATCGTACACGTTCCAATTTTTCTGCTTCCTTGAAGTTTGGTTGTAAGGTGTTTTCTTAAAATGTAAAGTTTAGCTGTGAACAAGAAAAAATAATGCCAAAAACTAAAAAAAAAATCAGTTAATTAAGAGTAGCGTTGGATGACGAAAAAAAAAAGTTATTTTAATGGAACAACAAATCATATTTTATTTTCAAGGAGAGATGATTAGTTCCATAGAATAATAGGTTACACTGTATCGTCCAGCGGTAAGTCTGAGGGCTTTTAACGCTAAAAACTTGGTTTCGATACCCGTGGTGGGGAAAGCACAGATAGCCCATTGTGTAGCTTTGTTATTAACTACAAACAAAAAAACAAGAGGTAACGGAAAGCGAACTGTCAATCCAATGAATTTAGGCAGGATTAGAGTAAGTTAATCTATGAAACCATGAGCGTGATCAAATATATCAATCGAAAAGGTTTGACGTCCTGAGTCCAAAACTGTAATTAGACCTCAAATCGGTCAAGAGATGACGGAGCTATGAGCTAAAATTTTGTACTTGAAAAAACAAAACAACAAAAACTCAGAGCCGTTCTATGAGCCGTGGCAAAGCGGAGCGTCACAATGAAGTTTTCTGTTGTTGATTTAACTATTTATTAAAGGCAAAAGAAAAAAGAATACGGGAAATTGTAATATTTTTAACAGATGCAAGTAATATTTGCTTCATAATCTATTGTCCAAAAATAAACAATATATATTTAGAAGCTTTACACGCTCTCCATTATACATATTACGTGTTGTAATGTAATAACATTTAACCTCATGCAGACGGAATGTGCTTTACTGTCATAAGGTGAACATATTATAATTATAACTCAGTACAAGTATTTGCACAAACGTTTGAGGCCCACTTGTAATGTTTTCCTTAATTAGGTTGTGTTGAAACTTCTAAGTAGAGTTCATTATTTAAAAATGTATAAAAGAATCATGTGTTTAGGTTGCATAGAAGGTCGCCGCTTACACTAATTTTACTAACTATTTTAATATTTTTTAGTATGCAGAAATTCAAGATGATTTTGCTATAGCGTGACGAAAACTATTTACACATACAACACAAATGAAATGTGATACCAGTTTCATTATTCGCAAGTGTTATCACACATTTAGTCATCATGGATTCCTTGTAAATTAAAGCACTAACCCATTATATCAATGAGTATACATTATGAATATTTAATCAATCCATTGATAATATGGGCTTGGAAGATTTATCATTTAACAAACTTTAAGGTATGTTTCGAGATTTTTCCGTCAAAAATAACTGACGAAAATAAAATACCTGTTTAATAATGGTTG